TTCTGACTTTCTACTCAGTTAAATTCAGTCCCTCCAGCAGCAGGTACTGGTCTCAGAGTTGGCTGCCTGCTTTGCTGCCCCTCCAGCACCTAATAGCCATGCGACCTTGGGCACGTCGCTTCCTGTAGGTCTACGCTGCCTGTGGGAGGAGCCGTGGTGGAGGGCACAGGCCTCGGCACAGGCTGGGCCAGCACCCATCAGTGATCAGTGATCAGCCATCAGCTGGGCATGACCTCCCCCTCCCCCTGGCACCATGGCCTGGAGACCAGCCCTATTGTTCCCAGGAGCCAGCGGGCAGGTCTCTATAAAGGGGCTACATCACCAGGCACAGATCTGACACCTCCTCCACCAAGAGTAGTGAGCAGCAAGTCCCCTTGACAGCTCTGCCCAGGCCGTGTCGGCCTTACTTCTCTCGTCTTGTTTGAGAGGAGGACGCCTGTGTTTCCTTGAACTCTCATCAGTGACCCCCACGCAGGAACCTCTTCACCCCGGCAGGGCCTTCCCCAAGTGGCTGAATTGTACTGAGGGTTAGACTCCCCATCAGAAAGTCAAGTAGAGTTGGAATAAACCTTTAGAAATAAAACTCCTAACTGAATCATTTATAGTTACACTTTATTTCCTTGGCTCACTTCTAACAGTGACCTACTGATGATTATCCTTCTCCTCCTCGTGGTCCTCACAGTAGGTTCCCTCATTCATGTGCCGAGACCGCACTTCCAGGGACAGAGACGGACGTACCCGATTAAACTACCTGCTGTTTTAAACCCATTTTCACAGAGACTTTTCCTGCGATAGACATTTAATGGCACAACACATTACAAATGATATCTGTCAGTAGTTTCCGCTGTTGTATTTGTGTAGCATGTGTGTGTGTGTGTGCGCGCGCACGTGCGGGCACTAACCCAGGGATCCCTTGTGAGGATCAATGTGTCTTCAAAAATGTGAAACAATTGCAGCTTCAAAAAACAAGGCAGGGCATGCATTTTACTGAGCAGTTAAGCAAATCGCACGCACAGTGTGTAAAACACCAAATATACAAATTACATTAAAATGAAAAAGTACAAGAAAACAGTGTTAACCAAAGGCTCTCTCCCTGAGTGACAGACTCTCCAGGTGGTGGGTGGCTCAGCAGGTCTCTCCCAGGGCATTTTTCTAATGTTTTTGCATCAGCAGCGCCTGGGGAACAGGCCTGATGCACACACCCCAGTCCTCGGCCACCACTGTCGGCAGAACCTCCATTAATCTTTGAGCTCTTTGCCCCCACTTTACCTAAAGAATAATGCCTTCCCCAGAATTTCACAAAAATCAATGGTGGAGTTAATTGAAATCTGGATCCCTTAACGTTTTCTCTTTATTAAGTGATTGCTTGGTTTCTGAAAAGTGGGGTTTGACTCAAAGGACGGCTTTAACGGAGGGTGAGTGGGTTGGTAAGAGAGAAAGTAGAGGTAGGTAATTTCCCAGATAGCTGAAAGATGCTGTTGACATTTAGGATTTTATTTCCTTTGAAGTCCTACATTGGGGCTTAAGGCATGAGAGGAATGACCAGGGCATTTCCAAGGCCCAGCCACTGCTCTGTGTCCCGGGAAAGGGCGGGGCATGCCCTCTCCTCCCAGGGCCAGAGAAAGCAAGAGGGAGAGGGGAGCGGGGGAGGCCTCATTGACCGCTGGGAGGTGGCCGGCGCCTTTATTTTAATGCCTCCCCCTTTCTGACGATCAAGGTATTCATATCCTAGGACCTCGGCCTGTCGTTGGCTTAGTAGCAGCAGTACTTTCGTATTCAAGCATTTTATAACCTGGCAGTAAACTCGACTTCACTGGCTTCTCAAAGCAACTTGCTGAGAAAATGGGGCTGGCATTTTCACCTTTACTTTGTAGAAGCAGAAACCAAGGCTCGAGTGGGTTGGAATTTTCCCAGGATGTCCCAGCCAGGGATGGTACAGGGTGCGTACAGGTTCCGGCTTTAGGGGAAGAGAGAGTGGGTCGAGGGCCAGGCATTTCCTTGATGGAGCTCTGGATGGCGGGCTGGACCGGCTCACCCCCAGCCAGGGGCACCCACGCGGCATCCCTCAGCACCCTTGGCGGTGCCCACCCACCCCGGGCACTGCAATTCCGAGTGCTGGTCCGACTCTCATCCGGTAGCTTCCCAACCTCTCAGACCACGGACTCCAAAGGCATCTGGTCGCGCTTTGCGAGGGAGGAAACGTAGCCGCTGGCTCCCCAGCCTGCACTCAGGGGCCTGGTTATCCTCCTCCCGATCTGGCTTCCACGGCTCCAAATGGGATCCGTTTGCTAATTAGTTAATGTCATTACCTGTCATCAAATCCAGACCATGTTGGTTTCTAAAACCTGCCGTGGCCCAGAAACCCACAGCTGACATCTCTCCACTGCTTAGCAGAGTTTCTTTGATGAGCCTGGCCACTCTCCCCTCATTCCTAGACCATGGGTCTGAAAATTAGGAGAAAGATGTATTTCTTGTATTTTTAAAGCCAATTTAAAATTCTTCTGTCTGCTTTCTAAAACCTTTCTTCACTCCCAGCAAAGCATAAATATAAGTTTTCCAGCAAATCTTACACCCACCATACTCTCCTTATTCTGCTGCTATATTTTGTTTTGGGCAGAATGGCCCAAATAGGAACCAGCTTACCCTCGCAGACACCGTTACGGACTGTTCTTACCAGCGATGACATGCTGCTTGTCCCACTATTTACTTTGTTAAGTACTGGGCAAGTGGTTCTCTTCTTTCTCCTCTCTGGTCATCACACAGATCGCTCTGAGTGACTGTGGCGAGCAGGTGCTGCGGCCCAGCGGGGACCAGGCCAGCCGACACCCGCTCCTCCGCTGGCTTCTGTTCTAGGGGGTGGTGGCCAGCAGGCAGAGCATGGAGGGTAAGGTGTACAGTGTGTGGCCGCATTTGTCCGGGGCCCGCTCTCCACTTGCACCTGCTGCGTGCAGCCTGGGGAGGAAGTCAGTGAAGGTGGCATCAATGTCTCCTTTGCCCTCGGGGTCTGGCTGGGACAGTGAGCTCAGGGTGCCGATCTGCCGTCCCTCCTGGTGGCCCGAGGGTGACACGGCTGCTTCTCTGTCCGTGGGAATCACCCTTCGCAGCGCCGCTTCCAGCCAGCGTGGGGACCGCTCACCACAGTTTGGTTTCCTTCACCCTGACTACAGCTCTGCAAACAGAGCCCAGGCCCTCATGGCCTCCCCAGTCCCCGCGTGACGGCCATCTGCTTGTCACCGGGACCCAGGCTGGAGGCAACGCATGGAGAAATGCACTTCTCCCAGGCCCGTTATCGCCACACTGTTGTCACCCGCAGGGCTTTGGGATAAATGTCGGCAGGCTTCAGGCTGCATTGCTTCTTGCTACACCACGCAGTTCATTACCATCGCCCATCAGAGAGCAGGGCACTGCCTCGCAGGCTCTCTGAAGGCAGCAGCTGATCTGTGATGACTAGCTAACCCTCAGCACCCAGTGCAGTGTGTGTGTGCACGCGCATGTGTGCGTGTGTGTGCACATATGTGCGTGTGTGCATGTGCATGTGTGCGCATGTATGTGTGTGCGTGCGTGCGTGTGTGTGTGTGTGTGTGAGTGACAAAGATCTGCTCCTTCACAGACCAGTTCAGCGAGCTGCTAACAGCCTCAGGAAGGTGCCCTGGCCCCAGTGTGGTCCCCGAGACGCTCCCCACCCAGCCCTGGCTCTGTGCTCAGCCCCCCGTGGGGAAGTCCCACTCAGGAATCATCTCGAAGACTTCTCTGGTTTCATCTGTTTGAAGAAGGGCGGGGGAGGGTCTTAATTTTTTCCTAAAGGATATAATTTCAATTAAACATTTTTCTTAGTTATGAAAGAAATGCACGTTGACATAGGGAACAGGAAATCCAGAAGTTCAAATATCCACCTAACTCTCCTACCTTAGCCCTGCGGGTGTGGGGACGCATCCAGGGAGCTCATCTCGGGGAAGCGCGCCTGGGTGTCGCCAGGCCCCTCAGTCCATGGGCTGCCTGCGTGCACCTCGCCCGAGCCCACCTGCCCCTTAGGCCACGCCAAGCCTTCCTCACCGCCTGCAGCCCCGTGGACCTAGCTCCATGCGTCGCAGCTCGTGGCATCCTCCTCAGGGTCTGGAGTGCGCCCCATGCTTCTCACTTCCTTCTGGGAGCCCCTCCGGCGCCCTCGGGCAGGAGGCTTAGCTCGCTGTGGAGTGTGGCGGCTGACGCCATGGCCCCTAGAGACGGCTGTGTGCATCAGGCCATGCAGGGCTTCCTGTCCAAAACGCCCTTGAAATGCAGTCCCCAGTCCCCTTGATGACAGGGGTGACAAGGAAAGGACAGCGTCACAGCCTCGTCACCTGACGGCACTTGCAAGGTAGCTCCCCTCAGAGCCAGCACTGAGCTTGTGTGGATGTCAGCCACACGGGGGGATGTGGGGACAAGAGCCACGCGTGGACGGCATTCTTGTGAGTTTTTTTTCTGTAATAGATGAACTGAGCATAATATTCTTCATCTGATAGTGCACTCAGAGGCATTCACTGTAAGTCTGAGTTAAAGCCTCGGTCTCCAGCAGCCCGTCAGAGAAAGAAACAGTCCGGCCGAAAGGTACCCCAGGAAAGCAGCGGGAAGAGAGCGGGCGCAGCATGAATGAGCTATTTAGCTTTTCTTGGAAAATGGCGTGATTCTCAGAGGACCGGGAGGCTAAGCATTCCCCAGATTTTTGTCAGGCGCATGTGCCAGCCCACAGAGTGCTGGCACCCCACACGGAGCGTCTGGACTGGGTTCAACCTCAGTCATTCAGGTGTTTGTGGCGTAGAATAAACACCACCCAGAAGGCAGCATCCTGAGTTACCAGAAGTTCCCGTGTGTAATGTCATTTTAGGCAGCGTTTCCAGCTTCCTCCGCACAGGGATAGTAAGTTAGTCATTCCGTTCAATAACAGGGTGTTTTTTTTCTATTTAAAAAAGAAATTTGAGTCAATCAATGTTTGGGACTAATCTGCCTAATTTATTTTCCAGGTCATGGAGCTCCACCCGATAGCTCAGTGCATCGCGTGGAGTGGTTGCGCCACTGTCCCCGGAGTTGGATGTCAGGAGGTACGGAGCCCGGCGTGGCATTTACCACTTTCAGAGCTGGCAGCCTGGCCGAGGAGACGGGACAAGTACTCGGGAAGCAATCCCTGTAGCTGCTAAACTGGGATTGTGCTGAGGACACCAAAGAGGCCCGCCCTCTGGCTCCTCCCTTCAGATTGGAGCAGCGGTACTGCGCTCACCTGCTTTGTGCACGTCCTTCTCGCACAGCGAGTGAGGAGCTGAATGGGAACATTTAGAAGCAAAAACAAAAATGCGTTTGGATGTTTCTGGGCTCCAGAGCCAGCAAGGAAGGAAGGATTGGACTTGTGGTGTCGGTGCCCCCGAGGCCCGGCCGCCCCCTCTGGCGCCCACAACGCTGTAGGGCGGTGGGGATCCTGGGCCAGAGGTCTTGGTCTTCCCATCAAAGATAGAGTCTGCACAAGGCTCCGCACCCAGACAGCCCTAGGAAACTTCCTACTAAGAGAGGCGTCTAGAAACGTGTGGTGGACAGCCAGCTTCCCCAAAGCCCCTTTCACTTTCTCCTTAGACATGAAGCCAACTAGCTAGAGACTCACTTCAGGACAGAGACTAAGTTATTGCCTCTGAAATGTGAGTAGAAGTGATATGTGCAGCTTCTACTTCCTGTTTTAACTGGAAATCGCTCTTCCTAGACTTCCTGTGGTCTGGGACCTGGATGTGCTGGTGACGCCATTAAACCAGGCAGCGGAGCAGACGAGCAGCCCTGGAGGGAGGTCTGGCCTCTTCTTCTCGGAGAAACAGGCCAGCCCGCAGCCGGGCCAGCTCCAGGGCGTTCCAAGAAAGGGAAGGCAGTCCAGTCTTGAGAGCCACTGTATTTTGGGATCTGTTGGATCAAAGAGCAAAGTTTTTTACCTTGAAAAATATAGACCATGTCTGGGCGTGGAAGTAGAGCACTGGCTGCAAGTCAGTAGCTCGCATCCCTTCATCCTCCCCTGCTGTCCTTCCTCCCGCACATGTTTATTGAGCATCAACTCTGTCTGAGCAACATGAAGCTGCCGGTGATGGTAAGCAACAGAGCCATGGCCCTCTCCTCCTGAAGCCGGCATCCTCGTAGGGCAGACAGACAGAAACAAGCAGGCAGACTAATTAAAACACCCACAGACCTGCTTTCTGGAGAAAGAACTGGGAAAAGGTAACAATTTCTTTCCACAGGCTACAGTAGTCCTGGCAGGGGAGGCTGGGAAAATGTACAAAAAATCACAGCAGAATTTCTCTAATCACATAGTATTTGAATTCAATGAAAAATAATAAGTCTCAGGAGTTTTAAGAGTTAGGAAGCGGGTTTCTGAGGCACCATGCTGTCCACTTCCGAGCGTGCTGGAAATGCTGGTTTGGAGGTTAGTGGTGCTGTCATCCAGGCAACACCTGGAGTGTGGGTTGCGGGTGAGCTGTTGAAAGGGGTCTCCGAGCCCCCGCGCACCGCAGTTCTGTGGGCTGTGAGTGGTGTGGCCTTGGGAATTTCTGGTTTAGAGATAGTAAAGCAGGAAATTGAAATATTTTAATTCATAAAACTTCCCAGACCATTAAAGCTACCTATTCTGAAGCAAGTGAGGTCCATATTGAAGAACCCCGATTTCCTTCCATATTAATTTTTCTAAGTGAGATTTTGGATCTTATAAAGCAATATCCTGACTCCTTTTGAAATATCTATTAACAAGCAAGTTGTTTCTGGAAGGAAACGATATGGTTTTCAGGCTGCAGATGTCAATGCAGCAATGATTGGGTTTTCTTTCTAAGGTTCCCTTTCCCCTCGGCTTAAGTGAGATGTAAGTGACATATCACACCGTGAAAGCGTAGGTGTACAATATGTGGACTTGATACACATATAGTGCAGATTTCTGAGGATTTTAATACTGTTCTCAGAAGTAGGAAATTTTATTTCTCTCTCTATTCTTTTGACTGAGAAGAAGAGATGGCGGGGTTTGAAACAGTCCACGGTGAGGGTATTGTCAGACTCCCCTTTGTTGGGTTGGTTTTCTGCATATCTAAGAAATCTAACAAGGGTCCAGGTTTCAGCTTTTGCACATCAGGAAATGGTTAGTGTGCCCCAGTCTCGCCTTACAGACCTGCTGAGGACGGAAACCTTCCCTTCTCTTCCCTTCCCCTCACCCCTCCCCCCATCCATCTCTCACCCGAAAGGGTCTACCTTACAGACCTGCTGAGGACGGAAACCTTCCCTTCCCTTCTCTTCCCTTCCCCCCACCCCTCCCCCCATCCATCTCTCACCCGAAAGGGTCTCTCTCGCCCAGAGGGTTCCCTGGGAATCAGGGTATGCTTGGCTGCCCCTGGAGAATGGCCGCCCATCAGTGCAGCTGCTCCCCCGTCGCCAGGAGTCAGGCTCTCCTGGGGCAGGAGGAGGCAAGAGGGAAGTGTGGGTCAGCCATGGCTGGATTTCCCGTGGCCAGGGTGCCTTGTATGTGCTCTCCTCCTCTGCTCCACAAGGGCCTGCGAGGGGCCTGGGCAGTCCCATCAAAGGGGCTGGCCTAGAGCCAAAGCTTGACTTCTCCCTGCACGGCTCGGCCAGGAGCTGCCGGTTCTCAGGGCTCCATTTCTGTCTGCTGAAACCGATAGGGAAGGTTAATGAGATTAGCATGGCCAAGCACCCGGGCTTCTGGGGAGGAGCAGCCAGGGATGAGCTGCCGCTGCGGAAACTGGCCAGGCCGGCAGCTGGGAAACGCAATTGTTTTCAGTAAACCGTTCGGAATGGCACTCAGGGCGAGCCTCACCAGTGCTGCCCCTTAAACGCTGCTGAGGCCACGAACGAATGAATGAATGTCCTATTTAATTTGCTTCCGATTTTTCACCAGCTTGGTCCAGTTCGCTGCTGAGGCCACGAACAAACGAATGAATGAATGTCTTGTTTAATTTGCTTCCGATTTTTCACCAGCTTGGTCCAGTACTTGCTGCCTTTCCAAATATATAGTGATTAATGTTTCCTGGGGTAGGTCCGGTTTATGATAAAATGTGGTAAAATAAAGCAATAGTCAAGTACAAAAACTGCACCCTGCATCAAGCTTAAAGATGAAATATCTTTCTGGATGGAGATTTCCTGAATAAAATATTGCTGAGAAAAGTGGAGGAGATGGCAATGTTTGTGTGTGTGTGTGTGTGTGTGTGTGTGCTTAGGAGTATTTAAAAATGCAATGTAAGCCAAAAGAGGAAGAAATTTGGGTAGATCTATAAAAGCACCACAATTTATGAGAGTTTAGAAGGCAGTTTCTTTTTAAGGGGCAGGTTCCTAATTTCCCACATGCAAGCATGGGAATTGAATAGTAAATCCTTCTCTCGCAGACAAGACCCTGAAAAGAGGAATGAAAAAGAGTTACTGTTCCGTTTCCATTCATGTCCCTTGAAAGCCGTGGCTGTGGAGCTGCCTGGCACACACAGCCCGGGTTTCAAAGCTGCCGGATGACTTCTCAGAAATGATCTATTGTGGCGCTTTGTTTCGTTCGGGTCGCCCTCGTTTTGTTCTGGGGGCCGCCTCGCTCTTCTGCCACGGCCATCAATCCCCCGTCACTCCCCCTTCACTCCCCCATTCAGAGGCGCAGCGGCCGGGAGGGGAGGGGCGGCAGGGCGGGGAGCTCACCTGGCCTGGGCCTCGCAGGCAGGACCGCGGAGGGAGGGGCGCTCTGGCCCCGCGAGTTGGAAGCTTTTCTCACACTTGAGAGTCCGGCTGAGCTGCTCCCTGGAGGACCTGGGGCTGCCAGCCTGTGCCGCCTGCCAATGAGCCGCCCTCATTTTTCAGTTTTGATTGGATTCACTCACTTGAGCTGGGTATCTAGGCTCCTTGTGGGTTAAGGGTTGTCAGACTGGGACTAAATGGCAAAGGATACGAACTGTAAAAATGAAAATGAAATCCGAAATCTCTCGTTTGGTTAGCAGCTCAAATTTGATTTCCACCCTGTGTTCTGTCCAGGAAATCTCCTGTTCAGTTAGATTTTCAGTAGGAACGATGCTCCCTTTCCCTCCCTCTGCCCTGGGCATCACTCGTTGTTAACAGTGTGAGGGGACTGTCCACAAGTCCCAAAGGGTTCCTGTGACATGGGGGGCCTAGGGGGTAGCAATCATGTCCCAAACATCAGCTCCTTGACATTCCTGCCGCTGTTCCCACTGCACAAGTGGGGGTGCACCTCTCAGAAGGAGGTGCTGGCTCCTGTGATGATTCCCCTGAAGATGAGTCAGTCCTAGGGCTGTACCTGCCTCCGGGGTCCAGGGAGCGGAGCCCCGGCCGCCTGCCAGGACATGCCCTATCCTGCCATGCCCTCAGGGAGAGGCTGAGGCCACACACACACACACACACACACACTCACATGTGCAACACCACACACACACATGCACTCACACCACACACACTCACCTATGTATGCACACACACGCACACACACGCAGGGCAGCAAAACATTTTCAAAATTTAACTGAATAATAAAAGTCAGGAATGAAATGTTTGAACACGTTGTGGTTCGCTCCAGCCTCCACGGTCATTTGAGCTGTGTGACTGCAGGCAAATTAGCTGACTTACCAGCTTCCATTTTGTTGTGACGAAGTGAATCGGTGGGGCTAGGTCGGTGCTTCTCAGAACGGGCTGGGCTTCAGGTCACTGAGCGGACTTAAAGAGCGTTAATTGCAGGCCCTCACCCCCAGAGATGCAGCAGGCGTGGGGTCAGGTCCAGCTTTCATTTCTAACGAGTTCCCAGGTGACGCTGCTGCTGGTCCAGGGACCACATTTGCGACGGTCTTCAGATGAACTTCTGGGTCTGATGCAGCCAGCAAAGCCAGCCCTTCCCTCAGGGGATGAGGTGGAAGAGTTGGTGGGTTGACTGAAGCTATAGTAAAGTTTTCATGTTCAAATTTGACTGGAAAATGATTCACCAGGGTGTCACAACCCTTCACTTTTTTTGACAGCATATTTGCATGTTGGGTTGACACATATAGTTTAAAGACACATCTCAATTACAAGATGTGGTCCAGATAGCTGCCCTTGTGGGGACAGAGGCGGCTGCTAAACTCTGAGCAATTACTTGAAATTAGACTTGTCAAGTTTGTTTATGGTGACCAGGCAAGTGCATACAGCAACCTAGTGTCACTCTTCCTGGAGAGTTTTGCAATGATTTTGCATATCAGTCAAACTATTCAAATACTAATGCTGCCTTCATCACCATTCTAGTCAGATGTCATTTCTAGAAGCCCTCGGGGCATTTGCATCCCTTAATTATTCTTCAATACCCAAACCAAGCATCTTTAATTGGTGTAAATTGAACAGTGTTACAATGCAAACAAGGAGAGGGTGCACTGATCAATGATTCTGTGCATGTCTATTGGAAAGTCCTTGCTATCAGATCAAGTAACAAATCCTTACCTCCGGTTGCTTCAGTGGAAACGCCAGCTCATGGAGACCCCAAACCTGGGTCTGCTTGTCATCACAATTCGGAAGCTTGAACTAGGCTAGTAAGCTGTGATTCCAAAATATCAACTTTTAGGGAAAGGATTAAATGTTGGGTAGATCTATAAAAGCACCACAATTTATGAGAGTTTAGAAGACAGTTTCTTTTTAAGGGGCAGGTTCCTAATTTCCCACACACACACATCCCAAGGTATAGAAATGTTGAATCACTTATATTCTACACCTGAAACTACTCTAATAAATGTAATATTGTATACCAACTATAATGAAATACAAATTTAAAAATCCAATCATAAAGATACTCAGTTCCAATGCCAGAAACGACATCTAGGAGCCCTTTTTGAGAACTTAACTAGATATATAAATGTCTAATCACCACATTGTACACTTGAAACTAACATGATATTGTATGTCATCTGTAATTGAAAAGTTAAAAGAAAATAACAAAGGGAGCACTCAGCTGGAGACAAAGTGTTTCTATCCTCTGGAGATTCAGTGTCTGTCTCTCAATTTCTTAATTAGAAACAATATAAAATTTTGGTTAATTTGTGAAGCCATTCTTTCTCATGGTTTTTTTTGTTTGTTTGTTTCTGATAGTGTATGATCCACCTAATCATATATCCAACCTGTGGTCACGTAACATGAAATAGGTATTCCCTTCTCCTTTCGTGTGATTGAAAAACTCTAATCATGGCCCTTCTAGTAAGTGTGTCACACTCACTTTTCCCTCTGTCTTATCAACTCCTTCACACTGACTATTTATTCCTGGGGTGGGAAGAAAAGGAAGCACAGGCCCATCGCATACCCCAGATCTGACGTCTCCAGCTCCCTGGGCTCAGAAAACTATGTTCTGATGTTCTCATGTGTAGGAGCCATGCCTGTTCATTTTTAATCTGATTTTTGACAAAATTGGCTGGTTATTACAGGGAAACTTTCAAGTTGATTTGAGTTTAGAGCAGTCCAGGGCAGAACACTTAAAATGAGTGGTGAGGAGGAGTGAGGGAGCTGTCAGCTTTCTGGACAATCTTTGTTCACTGGCTTGGATTTAAAGGGGAGCCTTTGGTTTGGATTTAAAGGGGAGCCTTTGGTGGGGAAGCTCATTTGAGTAGCCTGTCTCCACAGGCTGGGCTGTGATGTATACA